CAGACGTTTAGAACGATGGGCGGAACATTTCAGAGAACAGTTCAGCTGGCCTTCAGCTACTCTACAACTACCCTCCATTCCCAGACAGTGTGAATGGAACATTGAAGTAGGTCCCCCAACTCTTGCTGAAGTTCAAAAGGCTATAGTTAATCTGAAACGAGGAAGGGCAGCTGGTCCAGATGGATTGGCTCCAGAGGTCTTTAAGGATGGTGGTCCAATTTTAGCGATTAGGTTGACTAATATTTTAGCTAAGATCTGGGAGTTAGACGTTATCCCATCTGACTGGTCACAATCACTTATCGTCCCAATATATAAGAAAGGGTCAAAATCATCCTGTGACAACCACAGAGGGATTAGTTTAACTAATATAGTATCTAAAATACTAGCCTCGATAATTATCAGACGCCTAACTAAGACTCGTGAACTGCAAACACGAGAGAACCAAGCTGGCTTCAGACCTGGTCGTGGCTGCATCGACCACATATTCACCATTCGTCAGGTTCTAGAACACAGGCATACTTATCGGCGTCCGACAATGGTGGTCTTTCTTGACTTAAAAGCAGCATTTGACTCTGTAGACCGCGAGATTCTGTGGCAGTGTCTGTCATTGAAAGGCGTACCTCAGAAGTACATAAACCTTGTGAAGGCTCTTTACTCGAACACTACTAGTCGAGTCAGAGCTTATGGCGAACTGTCATCTACTTTTGCAACCTCAAGTGGTGTCCGTCAAGGCTGTCCACTTTCTCCATTTTTGTTTAACTTCATCATAGACCTACTGATGGAAATAACCTCTCGTCGACTGAATTCTCGGGTATTGATCTCCTCCAGGAGGTCCACTTATCGACTTAGAATACGCAGATGACATAGTCCTGTTTGGTGAAGACGCTGACAAAATGCAGAGTCTTTTGGTAGCACTAAGCAACAATGCCAGAATGTTTGGAATGCGCTTCTCTCCCTCTAAATGCAAGTTGTTGCTTCAGGACTGGTCTGCGTCAACACCTGAACTAAGGATAGGGAGTGAAGTAGTCGAACGCGTTGACAACTTCACTTATCTTGGAAGTCTGATCAGCCCTAATGGGTTGGTGTCTGACGAAATCTCAGCACGGATTCGAAAAGCTCGTTTGGCTTTTGCCAACTTACGTCACCTTGGCGAAGGCGAGATATCCGTCTATCAATAAAAGGACGAGTATACTGCGCGGCAGTCCGTTCTGTTTTACTTTACGGCAGCGAAACATGGCCTTAAGAGTAGAAGACACTCGTAAGCTACTAGTATTTGACCACAGATGCCTTAGAAATATTGCTGGCATCTGCTGGGATCACCGGGTAAGTAATAGTGAGGTTAGACGCAGGGTATTAGGGAATGATGGTAAATCAGTTGATGAGGTTATGAATCTTCATCGACTGAGATGGTTGGGCCACCTGTTACGTATGCCTGAACACCGATTACCACGACGTGCAATGCTAACCGGCGTTGGGATGGTTGGAAGAAAGTTAGGGGCGGCCAAACCAAAACGTGGCATCAGTGCCTGAAGTCACTAACTTCTAGTCTGAGCCATGTTGGTAGATGCAGACTACTTGGTTGGGGTCCGCGTGACTATCGTAACCAATGGTTGGAGACTCTTGGTGACATGGCTCAGAATCGATCACAATGGCGTCGGTGTATACACTCTATATCTTCCCTTAAACTAAGAGATTAAAATTGCTTCATATCTTTCTTTCTACGAACTAATTCTTTCTTCTTGTACTATATCTCTATATGCAATCTTTCTCTTATATATTACCACCTTTGACCAAACCACTGCTATGAATCCGGTGTTCATCTTGTTGTGCTGATGCGGTATGGCAACCTGGAGCAACGCACATATGTGCCTGGTCCTACGTTTTAGCTGACTGACTGACTAAATGCTCAGGTTGAAATGGACAACATCGGATATGAAGATATCATGGGACGACATGGACTGGGAGAAAGAAACAAAAATGGTGAGAGATTTGCAAACCTATGTGCTTTCAATAAACTCGTCATAGGCGCCACTATATTGCCACATAAACACATACACAAAACCACATGGATTTCACCGGATCACACTACACGGAACAAAATCGACCATATCTGCATCAACAAAAATTTCGGGAGGACGATAGAGGATGTGAGAACCAAAAGAGGGGCTGATATAGCCTCAGATCACTTCCTGGTCGCCAAGATGAAATTGAAAATCGATAAGCACTTGACGACGGGGCGGACAACATCACAAAAATTCAATACGCTTTTCTTCGGGATACTGGCTAACTTAACAAATTCATGATAGCCCTCGGTAATAAGTTCCAGGCCTTTCACGATCTATTCAATGAAGAGGGAACTACTATGGAGAGCAACTGGGAAGGGATAAATGAGGCAATCACTTCAACATGTCATGAGATTCTGGGCCACTAGAAGCACCATCACAGGGAATGGATCACTGTTGATACACTGGATATGACTCAAGAAAGGAGGAACAAGAGGGGAGCAATCAACACCAGCCGAACAAGAGCAGAGAAAACCAAGGCACAAGCTGAATACACAGAAGTAAACAAGCAAGAGGAGAGGAGCATGCCTGAGAAGATGGCCAATACAATACGGAATTCCTATGATGGATTAAACTGCGAAATTGTGCATGGAGGACAGCTCACAGACTCATTCGAAGTAAAAACCGGTTTCAGGCAAGGTTGCTTACTCTTACCCCTTCTTTCTCCTGGTGATCAACTGGATCATGAAGACGTCAACATCTGAAGTGAAGCACGGGATACAGTGGACATCTAGGATGCAGTTGGACGATCCCGACTTCGCAGACGATCTGGCTCTTCGATCGCACACGCAACAACAAATGCAGAAGACGACCAGTGTAGTAGCAGCCTCAGCAGCAGTAGGTCTCAACATACACAAAGGGAAAAGCAAGATTCTCCGATACAACACAGCATGCACCAATCCAATCACAATTGACGGAGAAGATTTGGAAGATGTAAAAACCTTTACATATTTGGGCAGCATCATTGATGAACACGGTGGATCTGATGCAGATGTGAAGACGCGGGGATCGGAAAAGCAATAGCAGCATATTTACAACTGAAGAACATCTGGAATTCAAAACAACTGTCTGTCAACGAACACAAAAGTCAGAATTCTAAATACAAATGTCAAGACAGTTCGACTGTATGAGGCGGAAAAATGGAGAACTACGAAAGTCATCACCCAGAAGATACAAGTGCTTATTAACAGTTGTCTACACCAAAATACTTCGGATCCGTTGGCCAGACACTATCAGTAACAAACTACTGAGGAGAGAACAAACCAGATCCTAGTTGAGGAGAAATCAGGAAGAAGCGCTGGAAATGGATAGGACACACATTGAGGAAAGCACCCAACTGCGTCACGAGACAAGCCCTCACTTGGAATCCTCAAGGCCAAAGGAGGAGAGGAAGACCAAAGAACACATTACACCGAGAAATGGAGACAGACATAAGAAGAATGAACAACAATTGGATAGAACTAGAAAGGAATGCCCAGGACAGAGTGGTTCGGCGGCCTATAGCTACATTGGGAGTAACAAGAGTAAGTCAGTGATTATACAGTTCCGTCCAAGTTTCTTTACTCAGCACATTCCTACTGCATAGATCATACGACCTATTAGAGAGACGGATTTCATTGAACGGTATCTTATTCTTCACATGTCAAAACAATCGCTGGACGTGCTTCACACCCCGCAACATAAAATTAATCTATTTAAATATCTGAGTGGTGAAATCCAGTGACTATACTATTAGAATAATATAGAAGAATTAGACATGCTAAGGGCGACGCCACAAAAAAATGGATGCCATAATAACTTTATGAGGAAATACATAACTGAACCTGAGTCTTAACCACGGACCTCCTCAACTGAAGTTGATTTTAAAATATTAAGTTAGTCGGTCATTTTATTATTACTACTGAAATATGATCTTGAATGCCCCGGAAATTAAATACCTCTTCCGTATAATAAGTCTAGGAAGTTGTTCATAGACTATCTTAGTGAGATTTACCTGGAGAAACAGGGGAATAACTTGATTTAAGTTATTTTGAGCTGTCACTTGTGTTCATCTTCAGATTTTAGTCCTCGACATCAGATGGTATCAGTTATGAACAATCTACAGAATCCATTGCAAACTCGATTTCATGTAATACATCACGTATATATCACAGTTTTGGTAAACATAGCGTATAGAAACATTTTGAACTGATTAAAAACGAATGTGCCAGATTCTACATTACTCATGACTGTGTGCCTGATAGAATTCACTTCTAACTGTTTACACTGAACCGAATTAAAAAAAAGAAAATGCTTGCTCATTTTATTGTTTTAAGTTTTATTTTCAAATACAAATCTCATAGGATTCTAACAAAACAACCAATCAAAAGTAGAAAACACTTGTCATGAAAAATATTCAATTTTATAATTACTGTCAATTAAATAAGAACATTCTTTGAAATCTTTATTTGTAAAATAGTCAATTAAACTTCATTTGTTCATGTTCACAGACAATAAATTCCGATTATCCTCATATTTATTTGCCTTTACTTTCTTGATGAAGCAAGTCTTGACGCGAGCTCGACACTAGCGCCTGTAAAACGAGAATTAAAAAGCAAAGCTTGTAAATAAAAAGATTCAATTAGAAAACAAATTATTATACGATTCATGAAGTGAAAGGTGCTAATGAATGCTGGAAATTACTTCAGTGTGACATAGTTCCTTAGAGCATTCAATACATATGTGTGGTTAAGTTGCTTAAAATAATGAAGTACGGAACGTAACATATTTTAACTGAAAATTGGATTGCATAATAATCCCTGGTAGTTATCGAATTACTACAGATTCCTTTTATTTGTCAGGTACCAGGTTTTGTTATTGTTTATTGATAAAGAAGAAACAAAATTCTCTTTCAAATTGTTCATAACCTAAATGAATGTAAAATATACCTATTTTTGTGTTGACTGAGAATAACAGTCCATTGAACCAACACTAATGGTTCATTAATGATTGAACCCCTCTCCGATTTACCAAACAATAACTAGAATCAGTACATTAAATTCAACTTGATAAGTTCAAACTCATTCTTTAAATCATACTAAGCCAACTCAATCTTCAATTATGTTTTGAAACTTTATTGATGCAATTAGTAATATTACTACTATGAGCCACATCATTTACATCAGACCTAGTGATACAATCCAGTTGGTCAAACTAAACTAGATGCAGTGACGTCGAGATTTGAGATCCACTGGTTGGAAGATGATCGCTTCAATTAATAAGCCAATGCAGCACACTCAAACTTTCGAATAATTGGTGTTACTAGACCTTATAAAGAGTGTGGTCCAAAACCGGGTACATGAACATGTACTTGGTCAATGAATTAGATAAGCCAATCTTGAGATAATAACGGAGTGTTTTGTTTGTAGAATTGGTAGACATTGTTTTAAGGAGACTACTCTCTGAACCTTGATAACAAAACTGCTGCAACAAATTATTAGTTCTTAAACGATTCCATGGTGGAATGACCACAAATAACTTCTACTTCAAATAAGCGTAGTTTCATGACAGTATCACATACGTAAAACATAATATCTGTTTATCGACCCCCAATAACAGATAATTAATACAAGTTTAAATGAGAAAATAACAACAAATAAAATAGATAACACCTTATCCGACATGTGCTGAAACTGTATCTTACACTTTCGAATTTATATAACTGTGTGTTAACAAATGTTGACTATCAAATATTAACAATGGTTTTTAGTTAGTAGTATGTTCACACTCAAGGCATTTTTATTACATGACAGTTTTTATTGATGCAAATACATTTTACGGTTATTTATCGCCTTTTTATAGACAGCTCAATTTAACAGACATAAAGTGTTCAAATTCTGTCAGTGTGTATTGAGTTCGTGTCTGGAGGATGATACTGACTGAATCTTATATGATAATATTGTATAGTTCAAAACATACTTTTCAGAATTTTTAGACAAACGAAATTAGGTAAATTGTTTAACATTGTGATAGCGAATGAAGTGTCACTAATATCTAGTCAAGTGTCATAAAAAAGACAAGTCTGTGAGAGAAAATCAAAATACCTTATTTGCTTCAATGGTTTTTGTCCAGTCTTCAGCACCAATCAATGCCACAGCCTCTAATAGAATTTCTCTAACGTGAACAATACTTTTGCGAAACTGTTCCAAAACCATATCAACACAGACCTGGTAAAAATGAAATAATACATCAAAAATGAGTTTGTTGGTATTAATGCCAAGTTTGAACTTGATAGTTTCAAATAAATTGAGCATTCTGTGGAAAGTTAATAATATACATGTAGACCGAGGAATGATTTATGTTTCATATTCAGTAAAACTAACCTTTAGATGGTTATAGAGGTTTTATGTTGGTCGGAAATTAAGGTCATCCATCAGTGAATGTGAATTATTTGAGTGCCGGATAATTTTCTTTCCTAGTTTTGTTTAATTATCCATTGCATAAAAGACTGTATCCAATGTTACCCTTGGGAAAATATTATTTACTAAAAGTAATAACTTTATTCTATTCAGTGAAATAAACTAGAAATCAGATCCTAGGTATTCAACTACCTGTAATAATTATTCAGCTTTTAGCTGTTTAAAGTTTCATTAGTGCAATGCAATATGACAATATGTCTGTCATAAAACATCATTTGATTATTCAGACGATCAGTAACAGAATGAATAAAAGGCGTTGTTATAACAGATTCAGTTAATATTCCCACCGTTGTAGTCTAATTCTATGCTTAAATTACTATCCATCAATCAAACAGGAAACATGAATGACAATGATTCCAGTCAAAAAGAAACCAGCTAATCATGTCATGCAATTTCTATCAGAAATTAAACTCTACTACCAACTAATTATCCATCTATTTAGTGAAAAGATTGGTGTTTGGTTGGTTAAGCAACAATAAGAACTATAATGTGCCTCGTATATTAAGTAAAGGGTTACATACTCGGATTTGAGTCACACTATTCTGTGGAAGGAATAATAATACTACCTAACTGACCAGACAGAAATAAGTCGAGTTGGATTCGAATCTGAAATCTACTGGTTGAAAAAACTGAGTGCTTTAATTACTAAGTCACAAAACTTCCTAGATTTTTTACTATCGATTATGAACAACTATAAATGAAAGTAGCCCGGCATATTAACCAACAATTAATAACCACTATCCTTTACTTTAGGACTTCCTAGAAATACAAAGTCTAACAATGCATGAAAATCCTCAAATTTAAAGACGAATACAATCACAACTTCATTGAAATTCACAACCTCATACTGGAAGCATAACAAAATAATTGGACATCCTTATGTGTGTATCTATAAATTACTATAAAAAAGTAGCCAGTAAGTATAACTTTCTCACATGTTCCTCATCTGCTTTCCAACAATCAAAATCTGTAACAATTGCTATAGAAGCATAACTTAAACCAGCTTCACGAGCCAATGAAACTTCAGGAACTAATGTCATGTTAACTATATCCAATCCCATTGCCTTATGAACAAATGATTCGCAACGAGTTGAAAAACGTGGACCATTGATAGTTACTGCAGAACCTTCAGTATGTACACATGGATGAATACAGGCGGATTTATCCATAGTTTTTTTGTCATAAACATTTATTGATTTATTTTTGGCCGCTTGGATTAACATCTGAAAATGTACGAGACATATGAACAAGTTACTATTAAACTATAAAAAAGAGAATTCAAGCAAAAACGTCTTCAGTGTTTAACTTTTCCTTTACATTTTCATGATCATTCATCAATGATTGAGTAGATAATGGAGACCAACTGTTTACCGATGCATCATTATATTGTAGGAGCTTTAAAACATTTATTAAGCAAAACAATACACAAACTTCCAACTCATTTGATAATTAACAACTGCAAGAAACTAGAATGTATCTAGCATAGTTAATGCGCCTTGTTAACAAAACATTTTGTACATTAATTTATTTTAAGCGTCAACATTCAATCAACAATATCAACTATGGAATTTAACAAACTTCAAAACCTCACTATATAACAATAATAATAATGTGCCCACCACTGACTAAGTGAGAAGTGAGAAGTTGTGACTATTGAAGATCAACTACTTAAAGTGTACAACAGTTACCTACTAATAAAACCAGGTGGTTGGCCAATATCGTTTTAAGATTGAATTTAAACATGTAAACTATTGGATGTCGGATCAGTGGTTTAAATGCCAAGTGCTCACTACAACAACTGGAAGTCCTGGGTTCGACCCATGATGGGGTCGTGGATAAGAACTGCCGACTTAAAACATATTAAGACGAAACGTCTGTCTGGCGCTTCCCAGCCTTCAATGTTCAACCAAAATCAGTTCTTGGTGTTAGTTATGGAATAAAAAGCTATTTAAACAGGTTTCATAATGGAATGTAAATTAAAAATTGAATTGAAAGCACTCAAGATTATGCAAACCGACAGTAGCTGTTACCTTGACGTGATGGTCGGGATTGCCTATCGTGATGACCCAACCGAGCTATATTGGCTGAAACATATGTTCCTACAGGTTCTATCATGCCAGGCAGGTCGATTGGAGAACCGTTAGACTAAAAGCAGCAACTCAAGGTCTGAGGGCGAAGTCGTACTGCTGACTGTAGAGGGGTATGACAGCAGTAAGGTGTTACCATCGGACAACCAGAAACTGTAGCGACGCTGCCTTCTCACAAGGAAGGAAGGGGTTAGAAAAGGTCCACTCTAAAAGTGTCACACCTCACCTTAAATCACGGATTTCCGTCTCCGGCAATAAGGCCCTTTAAAGAACGGAGCTAATACAATAAAAAGACTCCCACGATATGGCCGTGCGCGACCGCCCTCAAGTTGTCCTTTGGGCTCTGCGGTCACGCTCCCAGCTCGTCAAGACCATCACTAATCCGATTTCCTTTTCAGGTTCCTCAAGAAATACCTTTCCTCGGTGTAGGCAGCCGGGAAGTGATATCAGCCCTCATACCCGTCACAGCACACGATACCAAGTTGGTCACATTCAAATCCTCCTCACACCTCCTAATAACTCTTCTCACGTCCCTTCATCACCTCGCACCGCTGGTGCAAATGATTCGAGTACGCAGAACGTCATTCCTGATCTCCTAAAACCACACTCCAAACTACATGTAGGAGCTTTCAACGTTCAAACACTGTGACAAATAGGACAACAGGCTTCCTTAGTTAGGACTTTAGAATCTCGCGCTATCCATGTGTGCTGCGTCTCCGAAACGCGCATACAGGATCCGAGTAGTGTCATTCATTTAACCTCACCATATCAAAACAAAGAACTACCTAGATTCATGCTTCATGTATCTGGAAGCCCTGATGCTGCTTCCTGTGGCATCGCCGGAGTAAGTATAGAATTGAGTCCCAGAACAAAACTAGCTCTCTTAGACTGCATCCCAGTAGACAGTCGTTTGTGCGCTGTCCGACTAAACGGAACAGTGAGGACTCGGAAAGATAGCGACACTCGTCGTTGCCTCTCCGTCGTCTCTGCCTACTCTCCCACTGACTGCAGCTCAGATGATTTAAAAGATGAGTTTTACAGAAAGCTTTTCGACCTCCGAAAAACTAGACATTCTGGTGTAGTGATAGCGGCTGGTGACTTTAATGCTCAAGTAGGTAAACTAGGAGAAGGGGAAGGACACCTGAGTGGATCTTATAGTGTCGTGGCTCAAAGAACAGATAATGGCGACCGTCTATTGCAGCTATGCTCAGATAACCGCCTGTTTCTTGCAAATACTATATTTAAGCATAAGGAAAAACATCTTTCGATATAACGAACACCGAATTCGTCCCAACGTTGGACCCAAATAGATCACATCGCTATCAGCCACCGATGGAGGGGCTCGATTGAAGACTGTCGCTCATTCTGGAGCACATGCTTAGATTCAGATCATGCTCTAATGCAAGCGCGTATTTGTCTGTGTCCCACTGGACGTAGGAAAGACGCTGCAAGGAAGCCTCGTAGGGTCCTACTTATTGATAGCCAAGCTAAAAATATATTTCAGCAACAACTAGAAAAAAACAGTTAGGCAGCCATTTATGTGATGCATACCCCGAAACAGCGTGGAATGATATTCGAAAAGCTGTGGAAACAGCAGTGATATCTGCTAGTACGGTTAACCACTAGGTTAGGGAGAAACACTGGATCTCAGCAGCATCTATCGCACTGATAGATGCTCGAAAACTCATCCCATCTGGCTCTGAACATAACGAAGAGCAGAGTCAGCTTAAGCGCAAGCTGACAAGAAGTCTACGCAATGATCGTGAACAGTGGTGGGTAGCGAAAGCAAGAGATGGGAAAGGCAGCGGCAATAGGTAATAGCAGACAATTGTTCAGACTTGTTAAGGAAACCGGTATTAGGAACCCAACTGTTAGCGAAACTATCTCAGAAAAAGATGGGCATATTATTCACCCTTAATCCAGGAGATTGGATCGATGGGCAGAACACTTTAGGGATCAGTTCAACTGGCCTTCAGCCACACTTCGGTTTCCCACGATCACCAGTCAACCTGAATGGCAAGTTAATGTAAGTCCTCCAACTCTTTACGAAGTTGAAAAAGCCATAGGAAATCTTAAACGATGGAGAGCAGCAGGCCCCGACAGGTTTACTCCTGAGATTTTTAAGGATAGTGGTTCAGTATTAGCAGTGAGATTAACTGAGGTCTTAGGTAGAATTTGGGAACTGAACGTAATCCCATCTGACTGGTCTCAATCACTGATTGTGCCAGTCTATAAGAAAGGACAAAAGTCCTCTTGTGACAATCACAGAGGAATCAGTTTGACTAATATAGTGTCTAAAATATTAGCTTCAATAATACTTCGACGCCTAACCAAAGCTCGTGAAGAGCAGACTAGAGAAAACCAGGCTGATTTTCGACCTGGACGTGGTTGTATAGACAAGATATTCACACTACGTCAGGTCCTAGAACATAGACACACATTCAGACGCCCCACAGTAGTAATATTTCTCGACATTAAGGCGGCATATGACTTTGTTGTTCGTGAGGTTCTGTGACAGTGTTTGTCACTGTAAGGAGTACCAAAGAAGTACATTAACCTTGTAAAGGCTCTCTACTCAAACACGACTGGCCGAGTGAGAGCTTATGACGAACTGCCATCAGAATTGATTACCTCCAGTAGTGCTCGTCAGGACTGTCCACTCCCTCTATTCTTGTATGACTTTGTCGTTGACGTGCTTTCAGAGACAACATTTTCTTCATCTAAATTTCCAGGAGTTGAACTTTTACCGGGAAATTCACTTGTTGACTTAGAATATGCTGATGACATAGTTCTATTTGGTGAAGACACTGACAAAATGCAGTCTTCTGAATACTATAAGCAACAATCCAACCATGTTCGGCATGCGATTCTCCCCACGAAATGCAAAATGTTGCTTCAGGATTGGGTTGCACCGACACCCCAACTAATGATATGGAGTGAAGTAGTTGAACGTGTCGACCGCTTCACTTATCTCAGAAGTCTCATCAGCCCTTGTGGTCTGGTGTGTGACGAAATCTCAGCACGGATACAGAAGGCTCGACTAGCTCTTGCCAACATGCGTCATTTATGGCGTAGGCGAGATATCCGTCTATCAACCAAAGGACGTGTTTACTGCGCAGCAGTTCGTTCCGTCCTACTTTATGGCAGTGAAGCATGACCAGTAAGAGTAGAAGACATTCGTAGGTTAATAGTATCTGATCATAGGTGTCTTCGAAACATTGCTCGTATATCCTGGGACCATCGAATAAGTAACGCAGTTGTCAGAAAACGGATACTAGGTAAGGATGGCAAATCAATTGATGAGGTAGTGAAAATTCATCAGTTGAGATGGCTGGGATACGTGTTACGTATGCCCAACCATCGACTGCCTCGATGTGCGATGTTCAATGGTATAGGAGTAAGTTGGAAGAAAGCTAGGGGTGGCCAGACCAAAACATGGCATAAATCCATGAAGTCACAGACAAGTGGACTGAGCCATGTTGTTAAGTGTAGACTACCTGGTTGGGGACCGCGAGACGATAGCAACCGATGGCTAGAGACCTTGAATGACATGGCTCAAAATCGTTTGCAATGGCGCTGGTGCATCCACTCTTTGTGTTCTCCCAAACTCTAATCTTCTGAATTCTTCATGTCCCTTTCTTTTTTCTCTTTCAAATTTATTTCACTGTATTATACCCCTTGAATAACATCTTCAAACCCTAATCTTTCTGATTACTGCTTATACTCTTACCGCCACTACCACTACGGGATTTGAATCGACCACTGCATCTCTGTGCCAATGTGGTATGGCAACTCGAACTGATGTACGTACGTACGAAGTTCTAAGTTGTTACTGACTGATTGACTGACAAGAGCATGCAAAATCACTATATTAATACAGTTTGAAAGGCAAACTGTCTACGAAATTTTATTCTCGTACTCAAACAAACATATTTCATTCGACCGTGGTGTAACATTCCGAAATTTCACTCAGTAATACTACAGTCAACCAGTTTGAGATTAGTAAGATCAAAAGATGAAAGTAAAATCACTGCTAAATAAATAATAAGGTTAACTAACAACTGAAATAATTATTCACTTTGCAAATCTTGAAAATGTAGTGAGATGGAGAAGTAATTCAGCTCTCGAATTAGAAACAAAGTAAGATGCCCAGAAATATCTTCGGAGTTAGACAATATAACAAGAATAGTTAGGCGCAGCGGCAGACAACTGTGTCCCACTTGATAGCAAGGTATATGATTGAAAAAAGACCATGGAGTTGGCCTTCAAACAATTGTAAGTGGCTCATTCTTAGGTTTATAGAAGTCCTGGTCATTAGAAAATGCACACTTGAGTATACAGTGGACTAATGGTTTGTTTATATTCCATTTTAAACATTTCCAATTCATCTGCCAACACATGAAAATTGATGACATTTTTGACAGTATAAACAAGACTGATATTTTCATACGTATATATGTACGATTTATTCACTAACTTCAAAACTATAGAATGATCATTTGAATTCGCTGGCCATCTAAAGGACATTGTGGTGTGTATTCGAGCTATTCTTGATATGGTCATAATATGTGAGTCAATTGGCCAGAAGATGCTTCTCAGATATTCTTTTGTGTTTTTGAAAGACTACAATTTTAGAACTGCCTAACAAGTAATACTAAACAACATCCACAAACCATCAATGAAACAAAGTGACAGACATTACCCTTCATAAAATAGTACTCAATGGAATCAGTAGACACTAATATGACACAATTCAAAAAATCTAAACATTTCCTAGGAACAAAAAATATCGTGTAGCTAACGTGATTGTTAATTATTCGGAATGAATACTCTTAAAAACGTTTTAGAAGCAGTTCACATTTTTTAATTTGAACAGATGAGCTACAAACTATGGGCAAAAAACAACATAAAATGTAAATACTCGAAAGTACTTATAGAAACAAACCAAACTAGGTTGAACAGTTGTAAAATCTAGTGTCAAAGTATACGTGTCATAACAATTATACACCAAACACCTTTAAGTAAATAAAGTAAAAAAGCTTTACATACTTCCCTAATTATTAAGTCAAGCGATAGAAAACTAGCTTAATATCTAACCTGACGTGTTTTTTCACAAAATGGTTCTGCCATCGGCATATGTAAGACTCCTTTCAATGAATCAGGTTTACTTCCATAAAACGTATTTTCACGACCCCAAGTTTTATCCAAAAACTGATTGAGAACAACGAAATCTCCAGGTACTAAGTCCTCCTGTAGACTACCACAAGCGTTGGTAGCTAATATATGAGTACACCCGAGATCTCTCAACGCCCAAACGTTGGCGCGATAGTTGACTTCGCTGGGCGGAATTAAGTGTCCTTTACCATGTCTGCAAAATAAAATATGAACAAGCCACTCAGAACGCGGATCAATGTCTCCAAACTGCAAAACTCGTAGTCTTCCTTACGCAAAATAGCACCCAAATAAATTCTAAGCACTACAAGTCATTTGAAAGAGAAGTAAATTTCAGCCGAAATGTTTTCATAGATAATGACCGCTTTTACCGAAAAAGTAAACCTTTATGACTATTTACATATGGTCACAATAAATTATAAAATAGGTCCTAGAAGAAAGTAACCGGACCGCTTCTGTCTTGAGGTAAAACTATTTTAAGCATCTCTCGTACACAGACTCCTAAATTACCATCTTGAAACCTCAAGATGGGACAAAGTGAGTAGGAAATCATTTAACTAGTCAATCGGGATGAATTTTCTACAAACGTAAAAAATACCAGATTCAGCACAACAGTTAACAGCTTTCTAATAGGAAGTTAATTAAAATCACGAAAATCTTCGTTTTGAGTGCCTTTCGAACATCAATATTTTCAGAAAATTCAGACCTTTGTAGTCTGCACAGTTAAGACTTTTGTAATAAAATATGCATGAATTTCAGTCATTAGAAAAATAAGATAGTAAATGCGCTGTGTCCTAAAGGTTTTACAGATATATGCTGATTCATGATGCTATCATTTTGCTGTGATGGAAACATAAACCGCTTAATTCGCACTAAATTAAGCCTTAATACATGGTTATATGTGATCTTTCACTTAACACTATCAATATGCAAAACAATACAAGATTAGCAAAATCATATGTGTGAATTGTTGTAAATAATCAAGACGCTCAAGCATGTAGGTACATATATGATGCCCCATATGATCGCAGAGACAAAATCACTTTTATGTAGCGTCAACCGAATTGGTTTAAAGCCATTCGAGTTCCCTTTGATGCCAACAAGAAACTAACCACGTTGTCGAGTAGTGGATACTAAACGTTGTAATGTGGTTAGTTTCGCCCTATTTCTGTTAAACCTGGCAGTTTCGAGCTAAAGATGTCTGAATAAGTTTTGTAATGACCATTGTTATCTGTAAACGATTGTTCGCGATCGACAGAAGTATCGTATATGTCATTCAGAAGTTCAGTAAATTGTTTGTGAATAGCACCAAAACCGTCAGTCAATATGCAATTGGCTTTCTAAATACTACCCCCATGACTTTAATACGTCTTTGGACATGATAACTAAACAGCTTTCAAATTAAGTGCTGTTTAGCTGCCACTAGAACCAACCGGAAAAAACAGGTAATCAGTAATTTTTTCTATGCCCTCCAAAAATTTTACGATTTTGATAGCAGTTTTAATTTTTAAACCATAATATTTTTAGATTTGTTATTACATTATTCCTACAACCTTCCGCTTTCTCGGAATATTATTATTTCATTTTCTGGGGAGCCTTTATTGACTACCCATTTAATCTTCAGTGTGGTAGATAGATAACGTACATTGTCTTCTCGTTTCTATTCTCTAGTTCATTCGTAGCTCCTATAGTAAGTTTTGGACAGATCTGGAAAATTACTATAATACAATAAGTTCAATACAATTACTTATTCCAGCCAAGTCAATAATTTCATAACGAATAGGGCATTTTTACTAACAATGGTTACCTGGGAAGCACAACACATGCAACATCTCCAACAAAACCTTCGATAAGAGCATCTGACGGCTTTCCAAACGGAGTAGTCACTTGTCGCACTCCTACTTTTTTGAATAAATTTGGGTCATCGAATCCAGAACCCCCAATAATTCCAACCTAATATGCAAAGAAGTACGAATAATTACATTTTATATAGAATCAAAGTGCTTAAAACTCGAATCAATACACTTAATTTAGACTGAACAACTGTAAACCTTACATCTACAACTTAATGGATGAAACTTGGATTGTCTAGTTCATATGTCACCGCTTAAAATGCACAACTTTTTCTAATATACTATACATTACATAGTGGGATTAGAGATTCCCAAGACTTAACACTCCGTAAAAGCGACACTAATTTCACTTTTCGAGTTTGTCCTGAACTACAATGACGTTAGGTCTTAATTACTAGTTTTGTGTTAGCTTTCATTTAGTAAGCTAATACAATGGGATAAGTAAAGCGGACAATTAATAAAGTCATGTTTCTGTATAGATGAACAGGGTAGAAACAATCGGTTTTGAACTGATCAATTGTCAAGTGCATACACCTTTATATATACAAGAATCTCAGAGTGTAATTCTTATTTTTTACTGATCGGGGCTTTGGGAGGTAGAGATTAAGCTCTGCGATTTGCAGTGTCGTAGAAGTCCAATTTCCTTCTGATGGTATCAAGTGTTGATTATCAATGGTTAAGGACTCGGTACAAGGAGCAAGTACATAAGCTTAGATAGTTTGATTTCTGACTTTCGGGTCTTTAAAAGAAGCATTTTCGAATCAATGAATTCAAACGGGATATGATCTAAACCGTACACTTGAACATATATCAAAATACTTGCTGTTGGTGACTATTGATGGGAGCGTAGACAATTTTAAGCAAAACTAAATCGTCATAAGCGAAATATGGGTGGGCAGTTATTTTAGAAATATACAGTCAGACAGAGTTAGTCTACGTCAATCGCGCAAGCTGTAGAAGGACCGACTTCATTATATAACTTTTAGTGCGTCCTTCACTTCGAAATTAGTCTAATTTTCACTTAATTTTGAGAAAACGTTTTAGGCTGAATACGTGTCTAGTGGGAATATATACACTCGGATCTTAATAAAAGTCTAGTTATGTCATAAGATAGCTAGAATGTGATAAATACGTAGCTTGAGAAAGCGCATAGTGACCCCTGATTCGTGTCAAAAGCTGGATTTGACATTTTTGACAAGAATAATGCACTTACGTGGTTAAATTTAGTGTTAGCAAAAAATAACCGACCAAGGGTCACTTTCTAAATGACACTCATATAAACGACAGATATTCGCCAAAACTAACAACATTACTTTTGGCTTAACCTATAAGCACCGTATATTATACTGGACCAAGTGCAAAGATACTATGTATCAAATAACATAGTATCCAAAAGATGTAACTTACCTTAACTTTAGACATTCCGACTAAACTCGGCTAGGCAGGATAATTAACGAGACAATCACAGCTCGATATTTATAGCCAGTGATGTTGTGGGTGGATGGGGTCAGTCTTGTCTCCATTGGCTGATCCAAATAGTGAAATTGTTGATAAGGCTTAGCGCTATTGAGTCAAGGTTGGATATGTTAACGCGCAGTCTAATTTCCAATATCCAGTGTATTCGCCACGATCTTATATACACCGATTGGTTTCTCTACGCTCACATATTGTTGTTTCGGGCACGAATCCAGGTATTTAGTAGTGTTCAATCGGTGGACCACTGCTACTAGATACGATGCTCGTCAAACGAAAGCTTCTTCCATTCCATCCAGAACCATTTGATGTGATAATCCAAGGCCTAAGAGATGATTGCTTCAAAACTAAATAAATGATTTATCCAATAGGTGATGTGTAAGGGGATGGAGTTGAAAGCAGCCTGTATTTTGTGACTTGGATATATTTCTGGTGATTGATACGACTGCTGAATAAAGAGCCTTATGCTTCTCCCATGGTAATTCACTTGTCGTAGTCTTACTACACTGTGGGTAAACGCACCAGAACCTCGGATAAGGGTGACTTTGTAGTGTTGGTGGATCTCAAAAACAATACCCCTGAAATGGTGAAGACGGGAATATGTGATAGGTTTGATACCGCCCCAACATTCTGGTTTGGTTGTATAATTATGGTCTAGTTTGTTATCATTACTATTATGAAAATAGATCTCATCCTTAACTCTTAGATTTGTCGTGATGTGGAATCGTAAAATACAAGATCTTACATGGAAGTCACACCATTGTCTATGCTGACTCGTCGTATAGTAAAATCAGCAATATAATATTTAACGTTTTTAAAGAACACATTTGAACTGGAAATAGAACAACGTGTTTGATATGAATAAAATAAGATAAGTTGCACAAAAATGGCCATGTCTGCAAGGCCGAGTCATGCAATCTAATTGAGTTGATTGATTGTCCGCGCGTTCCCAGTTATCTCATGTTCAGCTATGAGGACTGTGAGGTTAGGACCTATACCTATACATGTTCATCACTACGTTACTTCTTTCAACTTACTCCTAGTCCAGATATATTCTTCAGTTATCTTAGCCTCAACCAGGTAGTACACCGGTGATGACTGTGTCCACAGTTAGTGCAAGCAATTGACAGGCTGTATCCTGCGCACAGTTGCAGTAGACGGTCATTGTCATCCGACTTGCGACCAACAGGTTCCTATTGGCCACCCAAACGACTGTACTCCGTGCTCAGATGTCAGACACGCGCATTCAAGTCCCCGGTCAGTACTACAATACCGATCGGACGCACGTTCTGTAGAAGAACAGTCAACTGGTGATAAAACTCATCCTTGATCATATTTGTGATCAATCAATAGGGGGATAGGCGAAGATGACGAGAAGACATAGTTTTTCACATCGATTTCTTACCACTCTGCTTGAACCTTCTGACCTTACAGAACAGAACCCACTATTGATAGGTATCCAGTCGACCAGTGCTGCCTAGGCTCTAGTGCGACACCGAAGGCGGCGACACCAGATGAAGGTGGAGCAGGGTCGCCGGACAAACACACGTGAAACGGGCTTTCTGAAGTGACAGATTGATAGTGAATTGTAGTACTGTAGAATTATGGTCTATTTCGGAATTCGTACTGCTCTAATAGTAGACGCGGTCCTAAAATTGTAGGTTTTTTATGATGTAACTGCCTAATCCACAAGACTTTACGTGGATGTCACATCATTTTCTATCCTGACTCACTCGTATTGTGACAATCATCAGTATATGGCGAAGAACACATTTAGGCTGGAGAAAGAACAATATATTTATTATAGCTAAGAGACTGTTGCATAAGTGCTTCACGCCTGCGATGCCGAACTATGCCATCCCATCAATTCGAACTAACTGGATTCATTCTTCCCGCCTTCTCCATCGTTGGGTCTGTCTCCGCATTAAATGAGGAATATCTATTTTCCCAGTTGTCTCGTGTTCAGCTTTGATGATTGTATGGTTAGGGCCCGATGCTACTACTGTACTACACTTGAGACATGAATATGGGTGCGGGATAGATAACAGACGCCAGTGTTGAGACTTTCTAAAGACATAGCCAACCCTATATGTTGTCGGATCCGCATTGGCGTGCGGATGTTGGAGGAGGATAGTTTGAATGAAATACGTGATTTCGGAAATATTGTACCACTAATTTCAGTCGGTGGTAGCATTCAACCTGCGACTAGTCAGTGACTCGAGATCGTTTATGTAGTACAGGGTTTCCACTAAAGACCAGTTGCTGTATATGTTGAACTGTAGAGTAAAATACACCAAACGAGAATAAAAGGCGGTAGATAAGCGGAATAGTATAAAATAAATAAAAACGAATGTTATCAAATGATTGTGAATATGACGTATCTAGATGTGAGTTGAAGAAAGAGCAATTGTTCCATTAATAATTATCATTTGATTTGTGTGTGGACTGGGATACTACCCGGGTGCTTAGACCGAATCAGTTTGTTCTCTTAAGGTGGTACTCCTCGATCATTCGATTAGGGGGTCTAATCCACAAGACAGTGGGGTGACGTTAGAGGCTGCAGTCCCATGGTAGTCGGTAACCAACAACAGATTTATACGCCATTTGTTCTCTCAGAATCCTAGAGCCCACGTGCACACTTGGTTAAGAATTAGGGTGTGCCAACTCCTGTGGTTGGATCCTTCGTTTCCGCCAACCCGGTTAAAGTGCCAGACATTCGAATTTCGTCATATGAATTTCGCAAGCAATACCCCAGACATGAGAAGGCAGTGAGTAGACAATCCCTGACAATAGTTTTAACGGAAAGAGGGCGCTGAAAATCCCCGCACAGCATTTTGTTAGACAGTACCGTCATTTATTTGTTTCTTCTCCCTTTCGTGCATTTTAACTTTTGTTCAGACTTCTTTTGACCACACTTTGTGTTCTTCGGTCTTCCTCGTCTCAGGTTTTACTATGTGATTTTGATCAAAGACTTATCTTTTGTTACCTGATTTTCTATTGCATGTTGCCGAACTATGACAATAAGGTCGCGTTTGACTAAGCTCAAGGTCACGGCGTGGATCAGTGTGTGACTGTTAACCTTGACTATCTGCTTGAGAAGATCACTGGAATCCCTGCAGATAGATATCTGATCCCATCTTGTTGGGAATATTTTTATTGATTCTCAGGCATTGAACTCTTTTGTATTAACTGGTTCTTTTGTTGTTTAGCACGCTACTTTGCGTTAGAGAAAGTTCTGACTGTATAGCACTGGCTGTACCGTTTGAAGTATTTTGTATTTTTGATATAATTTGTTGTATTTCCTAAATTAGAACCGTTTAAATTGAGCACAGAGTTTGTGTTTTGTTATAACTTAATACGAGTACCTCAAAAATGCCTCTTACGCTATACAGAAGAACGTAATCTGGTCTATTCGAGTAAATTTTGGTTCGTCAGTCCTGCCTTCAAACCGAATATTGGCAGTTCGGTTGTTACATTGCTTATATACGCTGAGCCATCTATTGTAAACGTGGACTGAATAGTTGTCCGAATCTAACTTCTCACCTGGCATTTTCACTAAAACATTTAGTCTATTTTATACTATGTATTATCCTCACATATCTTTTCGCCCAACCACTGCCTGCCAAATTTCCGACTCTCTTGCTCCATTGCCAAACAATAAAAACGATAATCCGGAAAACACAATCAATTTCGCTAAGAAGTTTCTGAAGTTTTTAGCTCCTTTCTGATAGTTCATACTGCAAGTGCTATGCGTTTGGATGGATTTGTATTGAATGAACTAAGGAACGAAGTCAGAAGCACTACGCATATTGAGGAATTAGTTGCAGCACTCCATGTTAAATCTGGTTCTTTTGAATTTGTACTATTTGTCATAATTGGCCTTCTGTACGTCAAACATACTGAATAATCTGAGATCCGAAAATAAATCAGGCGCGTTTTAATGTCCTAGTAGATCACCTACTATTTTTATGGTACGTCCAGGAATGTATATATTTATACCTAGATAAATCTGATTATTTATTTGGAGATCTAGTTTTGATGTTTGAATTGAGTGATCAACGTTGCACATATCACAAGGTTACCCTTGACTGTCTCGGAATTAAACTTCACGGCTTTGCAGCTCACTATACAACAGTCTTGTTTTCGCAATAAGATGGGTGTGTGTATGTTGCGTTTGAAGCAACAGGGAAGGGAGTAATTGATCGAGACAGCTACAAATACAGCACAGTGATTCAAACATGGTATGACTGTGAATAACAGATATTTTGTTATGGTTTTGTGGTAGCAGGAAAATCACATCGGACTCGAAGAACGCAAAAACGACATGCTATCATGTCAGACATTTAGATGCCCACTCTTTCATGCCTAGTTTCGATCACTGCATTATCTTCATTTGATACTTTCATCTTTGTTACTGTTTCATTTCAGAAATAAATTTAAGACCATTTTATATATCTTCTGTATTTCCTCAAGATATATGTGATCTCTTCTCGTGGCTTTCAGGCATACATCACCATACACGCCCCATAGCGTACAAAGTATCCCCAGATTAGCTTCATACATGTCAAAACATCAACCTTTCGTAGTCAAATAATCAGCCTAAAAGTTGCGGTTTTGTATTGTGTACGACACAGTTTGATGATTCCGTACAATGTCCAGGCTGTCCGTATGTCTACATGTACGTTTCCTCGTAGCCGTCGTCAGCTATCTTATCCTCGAACTTGAAGTACCACTCTTGAGTTATGAATTTAACTGTGTGTTACACATGACCATTTCATTATTGGTGCTTCGTGACTTAAAAACTTCACTTTAAAGCAAAGATTGATCTGATTAAAAACCATGTGAAGAACTGTTCGACCTGAGAGATGGTTTAAAAATAGAAATGTGGAGAGAGGAAAAACTGATTGGCCAACTAATCTAGTCACTTAGAGGGATAGTCAGTTGATAATTCTTCAGGCTTCAGCCAAATTAAAATCGAATCAAATTTTGAGCTACAGAAGGCTAGGTTCTAACCGCATCACGCGAAATATCATTATGATGTACTTCAAGGTCTAGGTTTCAAGAGTCACAATACCGAATATTAAACTAAGCATGGTGGAAACCAAACATGCAATGTCGAGATAATCAGTGGTTC